TTGTTCTTTAATGCTAAACTTTGTGATATAAACAGAGAACTGGACAGCTGTAGTGCAACACTGACTGCTGTGAAATGCAGACTGGCAATTTTATGTTTCCATTGTTCAAAGGCAGGCTTCTGTGTTCTCCATGCCCACTGACACAAGTAGGTTGGTAACTGGAGCTCTATGGAGAGATATATTTGAGATTTCTCTTTAACCCTGCCATCTGGAGAGATGGTACTAACATTGCATGTACTACATGGGGAGAGAGTTGGTCTTGGAAGCTCATTCAGAGATTGTGCAGTGTCGTGACTTGTCAGGATAGAGGCTTCACTGCTTTTGACCTGGCTGCTAGTACTAAATGTGTGAGGGGGGGGGGGGGACCCCCCTTGAAATGGAAAATTAAATTCAGATTTCAACAAATGGCAGAGCAACTAAATATTAGGTTGTGTGTATATTTTATGCAGTTTTTGTATCTATTCTAAATTTTAGTGAGCAGTTAACCATAAAATTGCTTAGTTTTCCTGCTGTTAGATACAAGTAGATTGTTTCAAGTTGTGTGTGTACAGTATATAAGAACTAAACTTTTATGCCAATGACTCCTGTGGTTAGTTGGTGTATTCATAGGTATAAAACTGTAGCCATCTCTCTTCCTGAATAACAAAGGCTTGCTTTTACACATCAAAAAAGTATTTGGTCAAGCAAGTCTGAATCACTTCTTCCTCAGAATGGATAGTGGTTTGGTTACAAGATTTCATTTTACTTAAGAACAAATGTTTGAAGTTGGGTATGAACAAGAGCTGCATCTCTAGCTATTTAGTTTATCACTAATACAGTATATTTAGTAAATTGAATGTGAAAAATAACAAAACCAGTGTGTAATCTTACCAGTATTTCTCTAGAAGGCAAGATACTTTGTTATGAAAATGGCTTTTGGCATTGTTTTTTCCATTTACCTTCAAAAGCCAGCATCAAACACCTAGTGTTCCTTGTTGTCATGTAGTAGCATATAAAGACATTGATTTCAAAAAGTTCCTTTTTAGAGAAATGTTTTAGGTTTTGGTTTTAGTGTTTTCAGCAGGGCCTTTAAAGAAATGCAGATGGCTTTTAAATATTGGCAGTGGAACGTGCTTAGGGGGTTGATCCTAGAATCTTTGTACATTTGATAGTATTTCTAACTTTTTCTTTACTGTTTGCAGTTAATGTTCATGTTCTGCTATGCAATCATTTATATGCACGTTCCTTTAATTTTGTAGACTTTCCTGGATGTATAGTTTAAAAACAGCAAAAAGTCTATTTAAAACTGTAGCAGTAGCGTGCAGCTCTAGCAGAGGAAAGTTGTGGGATTAAACTTTGTATTTCCTTTCTTATAGAGGCTTCTAAAAAGGTATTTTTATATGTTCTTTTTAACAAATATTGTGTACTACCTTTAAAACATCAATGTTTTGATCAAAATAACTAAAGACCCAGCTTATTTTCTGCTTGCTGTAAATTTAGCAAACATGCTGTAATAAAAAAATGAAGGAAATACTGATCCACTGGAATTATTGTAGCTTTAGAATTTGACTCCAGAGCATGGTTAGGAGTTAGAGCTATGCATCCCTTATGGAGTAAAATCCTTACTATGGTATTTCAGTAAAGTCAGGAATTTATCGTTTAATGTCTGAATAAATATCATTTCACATTTTTAAAGGGGTACTAGACAAAATGAGAATGATAAGCATATGTTTTAGTCTAATATATTGAAATTTCTTTTCCATTAACTTTCATTATTGCTGGATGGACTGCCCTATGGTTATAATTCAGATATTATTAGTCAGGTAATGAACTACTTAAAATCAACAATTGAAGATTCATATAGAACCAAATTTCTAGTATCACCTTATCGATTTATATTTGCCATATCAAAAATTGCGCCAGCAGTGGTTCTCTGGAAGGTGGTAAAACTTTGCTGATGACGATTAGAAATCAAGCTGCCTCCTGGCACTTTTGGTATATACGACTGGTTCTTCTTATGCCACTGAAGGAAAACAACTCTGAAAAGCACTTAATTGCTTTGATAAACCCACCCTTAAACTTTGTTAGATGAGCTGTGATTATCTTGTAGCTTTCTGCTTGTAACAGCAGAAAACCCCACCCTTTTCAGCTTGCTTAAATGAGTATAGTCTTCATGACTATAGGAAGGATAGGAAGTAGGACTAAAATCCTACTTAAAAGTGGTCCACCTGACTATGGCATGGGAAAGTGTGGTTATGTTTTTGTCAGCAACCTGTAAGGAAAGGAATTGCTGTAATTAATGTTCACGTTAGTCCAGCCAGAATTACAGCTGGATCAGTGGGGAGGAGGGAGGAGAACATCTTTGTGTCCAGGCTGAGGTTCTAATTTGAGACTGCAGAGTAACAGTAACTGTACCTTAACGATATTGTCAGCATGTCCTTATATTGTGTGCCTCAACATTGATGTATAGCACAGTTTAAATTTTTTTTTTGTTTTGAAAATCCAATTCATTGCAAGTATAATGTAGTATCTGACAGTTCTGATGGTTCTTTCTTTCTCTCCCAGAGGTAGGACTAAACTTTGACTTGACTTGTGTATATGAACAAGCCAGAAAAGCCGAACACAAACCCACGATGTTTCAAGAGTGCATGAATAAAGATGTTGTCCTAGTTCTTGCTCCCATGGAAAAATTGTGAAGAAGCTGTTCTGTGGGCCTTTCAGTTGGGGACGAGTTAGCAGGATGTGGCCAAAAGGGCAGGGAATGTTTATGCATTCATGCAAGTCAAGCCACAGCCCATCTAGATAACATCTCCCTTCCTTGATGCAGGTGTCCTACTCCTGCTCTAAAAAAAGCAGTAGCCTGTCTTGTGCAAGCTACCTGCAGGTTATGCACAGCTGGAATGCAAGAACATATGCAGGCTACAAAAGATTATGTATAGGCATCTTTCTTTTGGAGTCTCAAGAACGGTGGGAATTATGTTTTTCTGTGGTAAACTAGATTTTGTCATTCCTGCAAAATTTGTAGAATTGAAGTAGTATGTAAAAATTCTGCTGAAAGTAATGGCTGTGCTCCAAAATATCTGCAGCGTATTGATTTATCTCAGCAGTAATAGAAGGCTCTATTGGAACTTCTTTTTCACCAAAAGTCCATGCACCCAACTGATAATTAAAAATCTTAAATTTAGTTGTTAAGTAGCTGGGTGTTTAAATTAGGGACTATGATAGACTGGTCTCTGAAAGCTAAATGTTATCCTTTCTATGTCTTTTAAAGATGTTTAAATGTACAGTATAATGGCTTTATTCAAAGTGGAAATTTTCAATTTAAATGTTATTTTGAGCTCTCTTCTTGGAAAGAGCTTTCTTTTTTTTTCTTACTGTTTAGTCTGGGGTAACAGCTTGAAATATGTTCAGAGAAGGGTAATTGGATTGATATACATTGCAGCACTGCTACTTGATTTTTTGGCAGGGATGTTGCAGATTAACATTTTGAAGTACAAAGGGATAAATTTACACATTTTTAGGACATAATCACCCATTAATAATTGCTGGTTTTCTCCATTTATCTTGTAACTTGCTTAAAAAGTCTGTAGTCCATTGCTATAATATTTGTCTAAAGATGCTCTTACTGATGAGACTATTATAGGAAGGGAAGACTATGTACCCTGTAGTGTGTTTGATCAAAAGATGCTAATGTTTTATTCATACACATCCTTTCTTCTTGAGTTTTGTGTTCCATCTGTGCAAATAACCCTGTGAATTGGGAATAAAATGTACAAGTTTTGACTATAACTTGAGAGCACCTTCTGACTTAATTAATACAGCTGTAGTCTGTTGGAGATTTGATCACTGAGCACTGAATACCTGAGTAAGTTCCCTGTAGCCCAGAGCACTGAGCCAGCGACCCATCGTCAGAGGTAGCAGAGCCTGATCACGACTGTACCCGTCTAAGCTTAAGCTGCATCTACTCAGGCTAGTGTGTCTCACTTTCCTGGGCAGAGCCCACCAGCCCCTTAGCAGGTGCTGTTTTGTTTTTTGAGTAACATTAGTGTTTAATTTTCCAGCCTTGTGTTCACAGATCACAGGCAAGGCACAAATGAGAGGGTGGTAGTTCAAGAAACCTCTTTTCGTTGTGAAGCAATTTCCAGCTTGTTCTAACACTCGGCCTGCAGAGGCATACAGAACCTGTGCCTGGGGCTCCCAGGTTACCGATTCTACCAGGTAAAGATAACTGTGAAGAGTTTCTTGCCAGTTAAGGATAGGAAAGGGGGCATTTAAATACATTAATTGGTATTCTGAAGTGTCAGAGCTTTATAAAACTCCTTGAGCTGCCAAAATTATGTAATCCCACTTTTTCCATTACCATCTTAAAATACATAGATGCTTCTAGGGGGTGAAAAGTTTATTTTATTTAAATTTTTGTTGTTGCCAATTTGTACATATACTATTAGTAATTGACAATTTGAAGTCGAGTATACACAATTGTAACTGGGATAACAGCTCATACACTGGTGAAGGTCCAGGTCACAAAGATACAAGTTTAAAGACTGCCAATTCCATCTTATTTGGAGCAATAGATTTGTAAACATTCAACCAGCTGCCAATGCATTTTGAATGTACAGAAAGACATCTCAAAGAACATTTCACAATCTGCAAAACTCCCTTTCAAGTTAAAGCACTTTTTTAGTAATTACTGTATTTTGAAATAACCTTGGAGTCTGTTACCACAGTTCAGTTGTTTCTATTACAGGATCAACTGAATTGTGATAGCATTGAAAGCTGTGTGCTGGCAACTGCCCCTGTCCCAGTTCTGAAGTTGACATATTCTAGCAAATACTGGGCCAAAGTTATGTTGTAGCATTGATGCATTTTAGAAACAGAAAACTCTTACTTCAGTTTTATCAAACACCCAAACTCAGGCATTTGCATTTCTTGTGAAACACCCAATTTGATTTTGAACACCTTAGTGTTTTTTTCATCATTTAATACATACCTCTCCTATACATTCAGAACATGAGTATCTCAAACTTGAGCAGCTTTTTTTTTATTTTTTTTTGTTTTATTAAAAATTCTAAATAAGCTTCTTTTGCACTGAGTTTACTTTAAAAATGAGCTCACAACCAAGTAAAACGTGCATATTCACTGTATGTTAAGTGCAAGGGCACAGCCACAAATGTCTTTCATTTTTTTTAAACAAAATATCTTTTTTTATATCATGCCATGTACTCAACATGGTCATCTTACATTCAGCAGTTTTGTACTAAAAATACTTCTGTGCAGGAAAGCCCAGCATAAATTTACATATGCTACAAAGTTTTACATTTTATTTACATGGCTCTGTCTTCCCTATGAAAACATTTTAATACCTGCCACAAGCTACTGTAACTTAAAACAATATTACAGGGTAACCAATTTAAGACCAGTCTAACTAACTATTCCACCTGTTTCACAATTTTAAAAATGGGTATAAAAATGTATTTTAGAACTCAACAGTGCAATCAGAATACAAAGGATTTTTTACAGGTTTTTTGGCAGTCATCTGGCAATACAATGTCATTAGTTGGCACAGTCTGACTTGAAGTATTACTAGAGCTGGAGAGGCAATTACAGATTTGCTTGATGTGTTCTTCCATCTTTTCAAGAACATGCACCAGTATGTTTCCTAGATCTCAATTTTAGTCACAGGCTTGAAATGCTTGTCCTCCAATTCAAGAGTGCCAAACAAAGCTCACAGGTATGAACAAGAATAATCTGTGATTTACCTAGTGCCTAGGTGGAGGTCTGCTCTGCAGAGTTTTTATTTACCTAGCAAATTTTACGCAAGTTTGCAAAGCAGCAAAGTACCTGACTAAAGCTTTCAGTGCATCTTTTTCCAGTTAATGCTGCATTAAGTTAGGTAGAAGCTGGTTTTCTGATACCATACCAAAGAGTAGTCACAATTCCAATTTTGGGAGACAGTCCCATTTACACTTACAATAAATGGTGACTGTTCAGGATTTGATTAGATTGGATATAGAGAAAATACCTATTTCACAGTGAAGTGAACACAGCCCACAAGTTTTGAGGTAAAACATTAGGGGACTGTAAACTTCCACCCCCTTCTCTTCCAAGTGACTAACTACATGCAGCAAGAACATCTATTTCTGTATGCCTGTGCATCTGGAGTTAGGAATAAAAATTCTCAAATTCGAAACCCTGTAAATTTAAATAACTTTAAAAATATGAAGAGTTACATCTCAAGCCTGGACTTTAAGTAATGTTTTAAGCTGAAATGTCATTATTTCTTTATCAGAAGGTTTAAAAGAAACAGGTACCCAGTGGCTTGGTGGCTTAGGAAGAACACTTGGTGAGGGTGGCTCACTAAATTTTGCTCCAGCATAGTTCTGATTGGTTTGAGGTGTGAAAAACAGATTGCGATTTGATAAAGTAGGACTCCAATTTTGATTATTGGGGAAATGAACATTGTTCTTTCCCCCTTTTTGCATGGCCTGCCATGCACCAGATGATGAGTTGCATCCATGTCCTCTTTCTTTCTTCATATAGGTCTTCATCTGTGAATTCTGGTCTTTATTCTTCTGCCTGTTATTAAGTTGTTGATGGTTCTTGGTGGTATTTCTAGACTGGGGAACTGGAATGTTGAATCTTTCTCCACCACCCATCTTCAACTTAAACGTCACCTGTAAAAACGGGAAAAAGGCAGTAGAGTTTGCATTACAGCTTTTTTTAAAAAAAAAACAAACAAAAAAACCCCACAAATATTTTAGAGAGTTTTTAGATTCTAAGCAAGGGGACTGAAATCAATCTAACCAAAACTTGTATCAATTGAAAGTAGTGGGTTTTCTCCTTCACTGGACACCAATAATACCTAAAACTTAGCTGGCACACTCATGAGAACTGAATTATAATACAGCGAATCTTCCAAGCAGGAGATTACCGACTCTACAGTGGCTTAACAGTTCTGCTGCTGATGGCTGAGCAGCACGTCGTATACCAGTCCATCCTTCAGGAACTGTACCCGGGTCCCCTTATCAACAGTCACAGCTTTGTCTACCTAGTTATGAAAACGCTGGTCCACCAGGCAGCCCAACTACTAAATATGCCACTTCTTTTCTCCTCAGCAAAAGGTGTTACTGGAAGAATGTGAAAGGCATGTTGCTCACCAAATACAGTGCCAAATTTAAGATGTTAGTATTTAATCCTGAAGACATTTAAACCAAGCTTGTTACGCCTAACTATCTGGGCAAAGTTTGCACTGATAAAGCCACTCCCCAGTCTTTCTGGTAAGTCCTAGAATTACTCCGATAAACCCCAAATGAACTGAAAACAACCTCAAATGGGAAACAGCCATTTGTAGGAACTTCCAAAGCAGCCAGCCAGATACTATCACACAGTACTTGGCACCTTCATGCTGACTCTCCTACAGTATATTATTCTTCTCCCACCCCCATTTACCTTTCAGTTGTCTTCTCAGATTCCACACTCTCCAACTCCTGCCCCCTTTCTTGCTTCCAAGCCTGAAAGAGTAGGTGCTGCCTTTTGCTGGACTCCTTCCTTTGGCTAGGAATAGAAGTTTTCATGGGCTGATCTGCTGTATTCAGCCAGGTAGCCGAGCCCAACATCGGATTCTCGGCACAGAAGCTCCAAGGGAGAAGTCCCAACTGCATAAATGAGAATGAAGTTCGAATTCAGGTTAAGGAAACAATTGTTTCTTTTCAGATTTGGAAACAAAAAAAGCTGAAATAATTCAGACAATTCATAGTCAGTTGTGTCTCTTATTTGTTAAAGATAACAATACACTCCAACTTAAAAAAAAAAACAACACAAAAAAACCCACAACCAAAAGACACGGTAGTATTCATCTTACATAAACTTCCATTGTTATACTTGATATTTCAAAAAGAATAGCATTTTTATCATGCTCTCTCTATATATAGTCTTAATAAGCATTTTAATAGGCAGGCAAGAACCTCATCTTTTTTTTTAATAGGTAAAAAAAAGTCAAACACAACGGAAAACACTTTGGGATGAACTCTTAGGGAATTAGCGCTTCAATGCGTCACTCCTGAGTACAAAGAAACCCTCCCTGAAAACTACCCCTTGAGAACTCACCCGCCTAACTCTGTGGCACCAGAACAGCAAAGCACCACCCAGAATTACTGCGTATAGAAACCGACCCAAAGTGTCCAAACGCTTCCCATGGAACCAATCGCACCCCCAAACCCTCCTCCAGCCATTACAACAGAGCTCCATTTCTACTCTGTCAGCTGTTTTTTTCACCTTCGTTAGCAAAACAATTCCTTATTAACTCTTACAATAATTTCCTGTTAGCCCATGGCTCGTCCTCTCCTGAAATCTTTTAAAAAATATTTTCATCTTAAGGCACTCCAATCTGTTCACCCCCCTTAATCGATATGTCACTCTTCAGAGTCATCACCACCCCCAGTCCATCTCTCCCCAAAAGCTCCAGCCAGAGCCGCCCATTTTATTTTCAGCTTTCACCTCGCTGCGACTAACACTAAGGGCCGAGATAACATCAACACAATCCAAGCTGCTGTTTGATCCCACCGGGGCAGCCCTCAAGCTCGTCGCTTGGCAGGGCTCCATCTGTTCGTCTCCGAATTTTCTTCTCTTACCTACACCCCCCTCGGTCCCTCGTCCGGCCTGACCCCGCGGGGAGCCGGGAACCCCCGTCCCCACTTCCCCAACAATGGAACAGCTCAGCGAGCACAACATGGCGGCGACAGAGCCCGGCCCTTCCCGCACCGCTTCCTCCCTTACCGACTTCTGTCCGTCTCGTTCGCCCACAAGCACAGAAACACACACACGGGCCTTTAGGAACAGACCCCGCTGTTCCTCCGCCGTCACTCTCCGACACCCCCCCCCCGCAAAGCACAGCCCAAACCGCTCCACCAACTCCTACCGCTGCCCCTCTATCCCCCACACAAAATGGCGGCCGCTTCCCTACTCCGTATAACACCCTCGCCCTCCTCCCCCCTCCCCAGACCATCCTGCTACAGCCAATAGGAGCGCGCTCCCTACTCCCTCCGCCAATGCGAGCCAAGCTCCGCCTGTTGCCGGGAGGAAACGAGGCAGACTGGCCGCCAAGGGCAGGCGGGGCCGCCATTTGAATCTCCTCAGCGCAGGGCAGCTCGGGAGCGCGGCCCTTTGTCCCGGGGCCGACCCCTCCGCCCGACGGCGTCCGCGGCACGGCCCGAGGGTCCCCGGGCTGCGGTCCCCACCCCCCCAGCCGTCCGTGCAGCCCCCCCCCCCCCGCCCTCGCTCGGGAATTAGCACAACAAAAGGGGGGCGGGGCGGGGGGGTGGCCGTGCCAGCTGCCGCTTGGGGCTTCAAAGAGGTAAAATAATTAACAAAAAAACAACACCCTCCGGCTGTAAGAGGGTCCCCGGGAGCGGGGATTCGCTGAACAGCGAACAAAGAGCAAAATCCAGCCCCGCAGAGATCCCCCGCAGCTTTCAGATCGCCAAATGGAGTATCTCGAGTTTGTCGGGCCCATACCTCACACCTGCACTTCTTTAAATTAACTAATTTTTAAAATTTAAATTATTAGAAACAATTTAGAGGGATTTTTTTATGTCAAAATGTAGGGAAATGCGTGAAGGGAAAAGCTTCCACGGGTTTAAAACTGCTGTTGTGGGAAGGGATTCAAAACTGCAGAGCCCCTGGCACTGGCTGCTGTTCCTGTTTCCATTCGCACACTCTTGTTTTGCCTCAAGGGATCGTTTACACCGAAACCCAGGAGATTTGGCCTTTACCATGTACAGGCTGCATGAAAATTACATATACAAAAGAAACCCGCACACTTAAGAGAGATCCCGCTCCCTGTCCACCACAGAGGGGCCAGTCAAGCACGGTAGACTGCATTAGGGACAAAAAAAAAAAAAGAGGAAAAAAAAAGAAAAAAATGGAAAGCAGTTAATTCAGTTTAAACAACACCAGGGCAGGGGGGGAGTGGGGAGTACTTAAAAACAACATATGAACATTCAGAGGTTTTATTTTGAGGTATAGACAGATACCTTGAGTTCATTGAGGTACCCTGCATTTTTAGCTACAGAATGGAAAAATTACTCTTTTCTCCTTTATCTGTAAACCATTTAAAACAGAGCTGGTTTCTTACTGCCCAGCACCTAGTATTACAGGGTTCTGACCCATCATAGGGTCTTCAGGCACTAACAGGACAGAGGTAAGTACTCCAAAGAGAAGCTGCATCTAAGAAATTTGTATTTCATTATGCAGTGTTATTGAAAAAGACATGGTATGTTTTAATATACAAGATGTGTTGACATAACTAAGCCCAGACCTTTGTTCATGTTCTTTATTGTATGTTTTCACAAACCAAGCTGAGATTAATTTGTTTTCCTCCCTTTGCTCTGTATTTCTTGGCAGAATGTTATGGCTAAGGTCCTTTTAGTGGCTTTCATTTAGATAGAAGACAACAGTGTCTGCTGTAACCAAACACTTAAGCCTTGAAATTCCACTAGTTATCTCAAACAACTCTCCTATAATGCACATCAGCAGATTTTTGCTTTGGTTGATTCAAAGAAACTAACTCAATAGTTTGATTAACTATTAAGTAGGTATTCTTTATTGGCAGCGCTGGATGCACGGGGGGATCGCTCCACCTATCGTGCACACCATCAGGTCTAATTGTGCAGGTTAAATACATGTTCTATATACATATTCACTGGATTTCTGAGAAATGTTATACATATTCATTAGTTTTCTGGGAAACTATTAGCATATGCAAATGGCCTTTATGCAGGCACCTTGAAGGTCTCCGGTGGTCTTCAGGAGTCCTCTGGTGGTCTTCCATGGTCCTCCTCACTTGTCCGCTACTTGACCCTCCTCAGGGGATTCTGCGCAGTATGGTCCTTTACATGTTTTGATACATCTTATCCTAAAGAATGCACTAATGCTTGTTAGTGCTCTTATTATCTAAGTTTTCATTAGTGATGTAAAACCATATGGCTAGTTTAAGCTAAATTATCTACAAGGATGAGAACAAAGGCAGGAGTTCTTATCTTTTCTGGCCCTATCTATTCAAGCAAGGCCTCTCCTTGAGCCTTCTCGACAAGATCGTAAATTTATCAAACATTTAATTAAGTTTTGTGATTGTTCATGGTTCCTTCTTGCTCATCACTCCCAAGTACCAGTCTCTGACAGGCTTAATCCTTGACGAGCACTAGTCTTTGGTATGTAAAGTTACAGAGAGACAATCATTAAGCAATTAGCAGTTCGTTCTCTATATCAGGTTCTATCTTTAGTGTGTTTATGTCTGCTAAAACATCTTCTCATCTCAGCGCGTAGATGTTTTTAAGTCACGACATGTCACTGAGATTTAGAAACAGCATTTTACTGGCTGCAGATGTGCTCCTTGTCTGGGGAGCAGAACAGCAATGTACTTTTCCATTCAGATCAAGGATGACACAAGGTCTGGCAGTTTTTCCTCGCTATCTTTCAAATATTTCAAAAAAGCATCTTGACTTTCAGAATTGGTTTTGAGGTCAGGCTGACACATTTAGGGGAGGGGAGCAGGAAACATCAGCGATAAGCCAATCCTGTACTTGTGCCGAAACTGTTTCACTGAAACACACCAGGAAACCAGTTGAATGCTACAGTAAATTGTGTCATTGAGAGTTCAAGCAGGAACTCAAAGGGTATTTTTTACATCAAAAGGGCAGGCAGTCCAGAACATCCAAAACTTGCAAACAAAGAGAGTTACCCATGCTTGACATTTCAGCTGCTAAAACTTTTGGCAGGTTTCCTCTCCTGCAGTGGAAGAAACCAGAGCTACAGTAACCCTAACATGTACAGAAGCACTGGAGTGCCTGCTACGTCCTGCAGACACAGCACTGACTCAGTCCTGGGGTTCAGTCTTGATCCCCTATCATCACAATCTGAGATCCCTTCAAGAGGAGCTACTTCACTCCCTCAAATAATGATTTTGAAACCCTCTTAGTTTTTTTCAATGGCCTCAACACAAGGCTACTTTTTCCAAAGCCTATGGCACCATATGCCCCTGAGTTACCCATGGGCAGATTGTCTGGGCTGCAGCAAGATGTGAGCTGCCTCCAGGAGCAGCTGATATAGAGAACAAACTGCTTATTGCTTAATGATCTAGCTCATCTTGATTTTCTCTCCGTAACTTTACATACCAAGGACTGGTGTTTGTCAAGGATTAAGCCTGTCAGAGACTGGTACTTGTCAAGGACTGATATATCAAACAGAGGGACCCATAAGCAATCACAAAACTTAATTAAATGTTTGACAAATTTACAATCTTGTTGAAAAGGCACAAGGAGAGGCCTTGCTTGAATAGATAGGGCTGGAAAAGATAAGAACTCCTGCCTTTGTTCTCATCCTTGTAGATAATTTAGCTTAAACTAGCCATATGGTTTTACATCACTAATGAAAACTTAGATAATAAGAGCACTAACAAGCATTAGTGCATTCTTTAGGATAAGATGTATCAAAACATGTAAAGGACCATACTGCGCAGAATCCCCTGAGGAGGGTCAAGTAGCGGACAAGTGAGGAGGACCATGGAAGACCACCAGAGGACTCCTGAAGACCACCAGAGACCTTCAATGTGCCTGCATAAAGGCCATTTGCATATGCTAATAGTTTCCCAGAAAAC